CCCCCCCCGCCCCGGGCTCTGATGGGCTTGGCCAGTGCAGGCGGAGTCCCCTCCTGCCGCGTTGGCAGGACATGCCTGCCTGGTGTGGGAAGTCACGCCTGGCAGAGTGGAAGGAGAAAGGCCCGGGGTCCCAGCGCTGGGGCCGCAGCCTCCCCGTCTCTGGCCTCTGTCACGGAGCTGAGGTGCCTTCGTCAGTGAGGCCAGTGGGTTGAGATTTCCCTTAACTCGCTGCCTGGCACGTGCGGGACGATTCCCGTCAAGACGAGCATCCCGGCCTCCCTGCCGTGGGATCAGACCCGAAGCAGCCTCCTTTCCCTCAAGGAGAGCACCTAACAGGGAGACGTGAGCCCGGGACTCCCTGCACAGGCGGGTGGCCCCAGCCAGGCCAGGGGGGCAGCTCCCGCTTTAATTACCACGTGAGGGAGCGATACCACGACAGCCATGGTTTCTGTGGTCTGTGCCTCTGTCCCCGGCCCCGGAGCTGCCACTCCCAGAGTGGGTGAGGTGCAAGTTTTGGGACGGACGGTTCGCCCTGAAGAATCCCAAGGTTGCATTCTCCGCCACGTGTGTTCGTTGGGGTCAGGGCACGGTGCCCTCTCGCGGGTGCCCTGGGAGACCCCTGTCCTGAGGTGGGTGTCCAAGGGTCCTGCCAGGCTGGGTGCTGTGCTGACTCACCACACCTCGCAGACTCCCTACCTGCCGCCCAGGACGGCACAGATGCCTGGGTAGGCCCGTCCCCTGGATCCAGCCTCTTGGTTCCAGCTGCCACTTCTTACTGGCTACGAGTACCACGGTGCCCCCACCCAGGCCACTAGCGGCAGGCCTTATGCTCACTGTGGGGTCGCCAGGCGCACCACACGCGCGTCTGCGGGGGTATGTGGCCAGATGATTGCTGTCGGCGGCGGCCTGGGCCTGCTCCGAGGACGCGCCAGGGGGACAGCTCAGCAGGTGCGGAACATGGCATTTCGCGAGTGCCTCACAAGCGGTGGAGGTGAACCGGGCCGGGCGCCCAGCCCTCTGCCCCGTGCGTGGTAGGCAGTCATGCCCTTAGAGAGCAGCCTCTGCCCGGGCAGGCTCCGCCCTCGCCCCTCTCCAGAGCCCGGCTCACCCCATCTGCCACAGAGGAGGGGCGCTGGGGAACTCAGAGCGGTTAACCTAGCAATGGGGCGGTCGGGGATGGCACGGCGGCTGACCCGAGCGTCCTGAGGGCTGGGTGATGACAGCCTGGTGCTCTGGTGGGAAGGAGTCTGGTGCACTTGAGGCTGTGGGCTGCAGTCAGTGCAGGGTTGGGGGTGAGGTGGGCAGGGGAGGGGCCTCTGGTCGGGTCAGGTGGTCCATCTTCCACGTACCCCCAGCCTCTCCATCCTCCACCTACCACGGGTTCCGGATGGCAGGGGTCCACTCCCACCTTGGAGGTGGCCCCCGTCCACCCTTCCCGTCGAAGACCCTTCACCCCCTCAAAGGGCACTGGAAGGCGACACTGCGTCTCTGTCCCTCTCTTCTCCTGGGGTGACCGTCCACTGAGTGTCACCGCGCAGGGGGACGACAGCCCAGCCCGGAGAGGCCGAGAGTGCCCTTTAACCTCCTCCCACTCAGCTCTGGCCGGCACCTCCCTGGGGTGCTTTTCCCGTGGGCTCCGTCCTTAGGGAAGAGGCAGCTCACGAGAAAGTACATTGAAAACGGATGAATCTTGGGGTGTCCCAGCTCCTGGCTCAGTTCTCGCAAGCATGGCCGTAGCTCAAGAAGCGGTTACCATGGCTGTTTGGAACGACCTGGGTCACCCCCCCACGAAGCCCTGGGTCCAATGAGCGAGGCCAGAATTCTGGAAGGCCCCGGGTCGGGAGTGTCTGCCCCGTGAGTCTCTCGGGTCCTGTCATGCTTGGCGCTTGATGGAGCCCGCGTGTTGTCGCGTGTAAGCCCCGCCTCCCTGTGGCGCGTGGGTCACCTGGTGCCCTAGAGAGCAAGCTCTGTCTCCAGAGGCTGGACGACTTGCGGGAAGTCATGGTTGGCGGCTGCCAGGGTCAGGGTTCAAACCCGGCAAGCCCTTGACTGGAGGGGACACCTGGGGTTTAGTCGGCCGGGCGTTGATTCCCGTCCCACCCCTCGGGGCCCCCGGCGCTGCCCGCCATCATTGGTGCTGAAGCAGCTTTCGAAATGAGCCCGTCCCCGTAAACAGCAAGTCACCATAATGCAACGTGCTCAGTAGTTGGCGTTCAGTTGGTGTGTGGATGGGCATCCTCAGATCGTCCCTGTCCGGAGATCCCTGCCCTGTGACTTCTCCAGAGTTGCAGCCAGGCAGCATCATCGTCTCAACCTTTGGCAGAGGTCAGAGACCACTGACCTCCTCGCCACCCCGCCCTGGGCCGCGGTGGCGGTGCCTCGGCACCCTTGTCTGTGGACCCCGGGATGTAGCAGCAGCACGGAGGGCAGGCGTCAGGGCCAGCCGGCTGGGCCCCAGCAGGAGCCGGACTGTGTGGCCGATGCCGTCCATCAGCAGGGCGTCAAGGCCTGGGCCTGGGGGTGGTCCACCCCGTGGCTTCTCTAGTGAGGAGCGCAAGTGCGTGGCTCGGGGCCACAGAGCTGGGAGGTCAGTTAAAACCACATGGTAATCCATCCGGCCTTTGTCGCTCTGGGGGGACCTGGCTCCCAGGGCTCCTTGGGTAATTAGGAGTCTAGGGACTTTTAATCCGAAGAGGCCACAGCGGCCTTGGCGGCAGGGCTCCAGCCCCCTCTCGTTCAGGTGATTTATCCAGGTGAGGGGCAGCGGGGCTGCTCTCCGCCCCTGGAGCCGTCCGCCCAGTGCGGGGAATGCGACGTTCGCTGGCTGGGACAGAGGGTGGGGTGGGGCGCCGCAGGATGGCTGGGGCACACTCCTGGTCGGAGCTAAGAGATTGCCCTTGCGCTCAGCAAATACAGAGCACGTGTGGTGGGCCGGGCCATGCTGGCACTGGGCACGCGGTGGCGCTCTCCAGAACGCACAGGGAGCCCTGGCGCGTCAGCTCAGACTGGCGGTGGTGCTGGAGCAGCGCCCCATCCAGGCGGGGCCAGGCTGGATTCCAGGGAGACCGGCTGTCCTGGGCGGCTGCGCTGTGGGGGGAGAAAGGGCCGCTCACGGAACAGGTGCAGGCCGTGGATCGCGTTTGTAGCGCTCGCTCAGGATTTGCAGTTCGTGCCCTTCGTGTGTCAGTGTCTACCTCAGATCAGTATTCTGGAGAAGGCAGAAGCCTCACAACCGTGTAAGTCTATTCACGTGCCTCCTGTTCTTGGGCTGTTGTCATACTGCCTTTTACTTCTCGTGAACCGACCATCTCACTGCTCTTGCTGTCCCTCGAAACAGTCTTGGCAACTTTTTTTTTAAAGTTCATTTATTTCTTTTGAGGGAGAGAGAGCGCGAGTAAGCGTGAGGGGGGCAGAGACAGAGGGAGAGAGAAAATCCCAAGCAGGCTCCGTGCTGTCAGCCTAGAGCCGGACGCGGGGCTCAAACTCACGACCCAGGAGATCATGACCTGAGCCGAAATACAGTTGGACGCTTCACCGACTGAGCCACCCAGGCGCTCCTAGAGTCCGTTAACCTTTAAACGTTAAGAGGAAAACATTTCGTGTTGACCCGCATACTTCCCATTTCCCGTAATTCCCTCTTGCTTCCTGTCCGTGTGAATTTCTGCCGGTGTCACTTCTTTGCAGCCTGAAGATCTTCCTTTAGCATTTCTCGCAGTAGGCGTCTGCTGGGGATCTGACCGTCTGTCTTTTGTTTGCCTGAAAAACATCTTTATTTGGTCCTTGTGTTTGAAAGATATTTCAACGTTGCCCGTAACGTTCTGGCTCCACAGTATTTCTCTTCCAGCTCTTTAAAGGTGTTGTTCCCTGTTCTGGCCTGTGTTTCTGATAAGAGGTTCATCATGGTTTTCACTGTTGTGTCCTGTATGTGATGGGCCCTCTGTCCGTGGCTGATT